AGGGTTGTGCTGTTGCAGCCTCTTGAATGCACTGTGAGAAATGGGTTCCTGCTGCCTGCCCGTCCCGTCAGCCCGGGATCAGCTCCAGCGGTGAGGTACGGTGCTTGCAGGTGCAAGTGATGCAGCTTCGCACCACCTCAAATGAACTGAATCAAACCCTGTCTGTCCCCTTCTTCTGAGACTCCTTCATTCAGAGACTTCTTCTGAGACTCCTTCTTCATTCAGGCAGGAACCTACCCGGACTCCAACCACATGGAGCTAGGAGTGCAGGGACAGGCACTGGTGGACAAGGATTTGTGAGCTCAGAAGAATCCTTAACCCAGGGAGCATTGAATCACGATGACTTTACCTGAATGTCTCACCACTTCGAGAGAAGCATCTGAAAATACCCAAGTCCTCAACAAAAGTACTACGGAGCTGCTAAGCTCTCAGCTCTCATTTCTTGATTACTTTTCTTTAGATATGTATCTATTTTTGTGATTGACTTTCTTCGTGACCTTACGGAGCTTTTGAAAGGAGTCGGCCTGCAAGCCAAATCCCTTTAAGCCACTCGGCCCGCTATAGAAAGCCGAGGGCAGCACCGCAGCACGGCTGGGAGTCTGGGGGCAAAGGCAGGATGGCCCCGCACGCCCACGCAGCCCCAAGGCTGCAGCGGGGAAGAGGAGGGGGCGATGGCGGCTGCGGGGGCTATGGCCCAGGGCAAGCCCCGCGGTTGGCCAGAGGCGTCCAAGGTCAGGGTTTGTCGTTCCTCTTGTGGAAACCAGTGTAGGACTGGGTCCGCTATCTCCTGCAAACATGATCTCAAAAATGAGGCAGCAAGGAGCAGAGCGCTGTCTCTTCTGTCACAGGGTTAGCGAAAATCATCTGTGCAATTCTCACACGTTTCTCTCAGAAATAGTGAGAGATGACGTAGAGATAAAGATGATATAAGAACCTGACTGTAATTAGACATTCGCTTTGAAACCCTTCTGTAAATTTCACTTATCAAATGCTGCTTACTTAAGAAATAAAATCTCATTTCTATTTTTTTCGATTTGTTTTTTTTTTTCTTAAAGAAATTGCAAAATGGTAACTAAGAGCTGAGGCAGAGCTGGAAAGGTTAATTTGTTCTAAACTGATGTTGCATGCTTAATTTGATGGCTATTTGTTCACTCTCAAACTGTGTGGTATAGCAGAGACAAGAGATTACAGCTCTTTGGGTTCTTGGCAATACCCTTTTAGTAACTATTAAGGAAGGAGGCATCTCTGAGCAAGAGCGTTACAGTATCCCTTTTGGAGAGAAGTTCCAGCTGCCCTATGGCTCTGAATCTTTTCCTATACCATGTTCATCAGGGAGACAGAACCAAGAGCTTCGAAGTCACTTGCTTAAGTATCTGTAGTATGTTGATATCTTCAGGGAGAATACAGTGTCTTCTTTTAGGGTTAGACATCATCATTATCAAATGAAAAGAAAATTAAATTCTCAGAGAACAGTGAGTTCAGCAGTGCCTGGACAGGCAGAGAATGCAAAGTGTTGCTGGTGTATGCTATGGACTGTACATATGGGCATCTTTACAACACTGTTTCTAACTCGAATGCAGTCCACAGGGTCTCAGAAGCTCTGCTCCATAAAGTGGATAAAATTCAGCCCAATTCTGTTTTTTCTTCTTTGATGGAGCTGATGTTTTTGCTACACATGCTGGCACACTCACTTCCTCCAAAGCCCTTCCTCTCAACGGGAATCTCAGCCTCAGAAATCCAGAGTACCTTTCTGAAGGCAATGGCCATCCAACTGCCAGGTGATGCTGGAGAAGTGAGGCTCTTCAGCCATGAGTTTCGATCAAGGTGCAATAATTGCAGTCACTTTAGAGGAGCCCTTGTTTTAAGCTCTATGTGTTGCTCTGAGGAAGAACTACTTCCCTCCTCATCGAAAACATAAGTTGGGTACTGATTGTAAATGCCAGCCACCTTGGAGCACAGCCTGTGTATCTGCTTCCCTGCTGCATGGGTTGGAACAGTGCCACAGCTCTACATGCTGATATTCTCCAACTGTCAATGCATGTACAGACAGAGACCTGTTGATCCTGGGACTGGTTCGAAGTCCCCTCATATATTAATTGAACTGAAGTCTCCTTGGAAATGTCAGATATATAGGGATGGGGTTTTCCCACCATAAGTTCCTACACAGGCAGAATTTCTTCTTATTTCCATTCTGCTTAAGCAGTAAAGTTTATGCACTCACACTCAATATTTTATTTTCTATCAGCACATATTGTTTCAAACATTAATTTCCAAGTCAACAGAAGGCATTTCCAAATGCCAACCCCATGTGAAAGATTCCTGAGCTGGTTGCAGGTGTGCTGGTACAGCTGTACCAAACACATATCCGTACTCCTGCATGAGAATACCAGTCCTGAGCTAAAAACATTTGTATGTTGTCATGGCAGTCTGCACAGAAGGCATCCGTGCCCCTAAGGAGGTCAATTAGTTCAGGTTGAGCATCCCTCCAGAGAAGATATTCTGCTTGCAAGGCTGGGAACTTCTGTCTTGTTCACTTACATTTGATCTACTCTAAATCTCCAGAATTCAGGAGTTGATACTTTTCTCACTTGCATCATCTAGTCTTTTATCTCTTCAGTCCAAGTCCAAGAATAAAGTGCTCCCAAATGAGAATTCATTGTTTTCCAAGCGTAATATTACTTTTTTCTCTTATTTGAAGCTATCAAGGTGAAAATGTGTAATAAATGCCCATTTGGTCCTTATCTAATCTGATCATCTTCCTTTGCACAGTTTCAGCATTAGAAATACTCTAGTTTAGTTTGGTTTGGTTTGCAGCTCTCCTGTCTACCTTCTCACAAGACAACACCTTTATAAAATGGATAAGAAATATTTATAGTCTTACGTAGAAATATTTTTGTAGGTTTTTTTGTTCATACTTGGAAGTTTATTTTTTAAAATCCTCTAGTTAATAGACAAGACACACACATAGGGTTATATTTCCTCCCAGACGTTATCCATACCCCTCACTCTCTTTGAAAAAATAATATGTAAATAAAGCTGAATTTTCTTCACATTACCTTCAATAAATGAGTTTAAATCACCGTGCAAATCTCATAATTCACCTCTTTGCTTCTAGCAGTTTTAGGACAAATCCAGTAGATTTAACTTTAAGCCTCCAAATATCTCTGCTGACAGTCTAAGGTAAAGTTCTGGTTATCCAATTCTTTACATTCACCAAGGACTGCAGTTGCTGTGGTTTCAAAGATTTCACAGAAATCAAAACACTTTGATAAGTGTCAGTACAAGTAATTATCTCTGATAAATGATTTCTCTGATCTCTAGATGTCCTCACAGAGATTGCCCCATACATGTGCTGACCAAACAAGAATTTTCCTGCATTTATCCCATTCTTCCTAACTCTGAAACTGTCTGGGGCACAGATGAAGACTTTATCTTGAAATAAAAATCTAGCATATACGTCTTACAGGAATATCACATTTTTCGAGGATTTCTTGCTGTCTGCAGTTTGGTTAGAAGACAACAACATGAGCGTCACCCCAGCTGCAGCACCCCTGAACCCAGGGCATTTTTCACGGTGCACGGGCAGTTCTGGCGGTAGCGCCCGGGGCCGGGGCGAGCAGAGGCCGGGAACAGACAAGGGTCCGCTCCGCAGCCCTGGCACGGTGACTCCAGCATTGCCCACTGCAGAGTGTTCCTGTCTGCAAAATCCGGCTTGGTTAAACCACAGCTCCGGCCGCAGTCCTGAGCAGCGCAGGCTCCGCGCTCCACCCAGCACCAGCCCTCATCCCCAGTCCTTCGTTGCTACCGCTCACAGTCACAACCACTAGTGCCCAGGGATGCTGATTTCATCATAGGGACCAGTTTGCCCAGGGAGCTGTGGGAGGAGGTTCCACTGACTAACTACAGTCAAAATGCACTGTCATTTTGGCAAGTATAATTTTTAAGGGTAAATGCAAAATGTTCTTCTTCTGATGTCCAATAATGAACAATACTTTATGCTTCCAATGATGCCCATCAAGCAATGACAAGGAATATGCATTTCACAGACAATTAGGTGAAACAGTAAAAAATCACTAAGTGCTCCTGACATTAAGCAGATGGAAATCTGGCACTGTACCTGAGACTCAGTTCAGGTCAAAAGGAGCTTAGCACACACCATCAGCTGTACTCTGCTAGCTCTCAAAGGCGTTATAAAAAGGGACACTGTAGAACTGGAACATGCATGGAGGGAGGACTGAAATGATAGCTCTAGCAACTGACAAATCTCCATCAGGGTGAGCAGGGAGAAGCTTTCATCCTAGATGTTGAGATTAGCTACAGGATGAACGATGTGTCTTCTTTTCATAAACAAAAGGAGATATTTTAAGAAATAAAGCACCTTTGTCTGAATGAAAGTAACATTCACATTATTAAGTGTGGTTATTAAATTAAATAGGACTTACCATTGTGCCATCATTTTTTTTTTCCCCAGCTGAATGGATTTCTTAGGGCTTCTAGTGGTCCATTCTACGGGGACTCTTCAGATCTGTTCCTTCCCTTCTATACATCATCTTAAATTAGGAATTACCACTATGAATTTACACTTATGTAGGCCTTAAAAGAGAAAAGAATCAGTCCATGTAATTTGATTTAGAGGCCATCACCGTGTTTATATTCAAATATCATCTTTTTCTTTTCATCACTGAGATTCAGTGCACATATTGAATAAAGCTGTTACACTTGATCTATAACTAATTACAGAAATTGTTTTGCTCTAGTATTGATTAGAAACTGACATTCTCATTTATGAAGCGCTTGTGTTTACCTTCTTAGAGTTAATGTGTACTTTATAGCAATAAATATGAGATGTAGCTAAAAGTGGCTTATCTATAGACATTTATCTACCTAAGCAGGTGATTTGAGCTCCTCAAGAGTTTAGCTAGAACCAAAAACTGTAAAATTTTCACCACCTTTAAGATCCTATTAAGCAACTACCTATAATCATATTTTTTTTTCCCCAGTCACAATATTCTCCTGTATGAGGATGGTCACGCAGTTGTTGCTGATTTTGGAGGTAAGGAGTTTTTATGAGACATCTACAAATTAACCTTGAATTCTCTAAAACTAAACATGTGCTGACTAAGAAAACGCTGAGGAAGCTGTTCTTCATTTTATTATGAAAGGACACAAAACACTTTTAGGGGTGAGAATGTCCCTATTTTTTGCCTCATCTAATTTAGCAGGTGCTATGGAGTACCCCACTGTTTATCTGAGAAGGAAGCCCAGGTGACAGTGAGATGGATACATCACAGTTTGAGTAAGTTCTAGCGGTAGGTTAGAGAAAGAAGTTGAGTGAAAATGCCTGTAACAGAAGATGTGCCCTCCTCTTTCATGGCAGCTGCTCAGGATCAGAGGACAGAGTTCTTGTGCAAGTCCGCCTGTTGGCAGCCAAGCCCCATGGCAATAGGACAGGTTTCTTTCATTTTAGCTAAAAGAGCAGAATGTAGCTCATTATTTCAGTTGTGGGCCTTGGTAACTTTGTGTTCAAAATTAGACTAGGCTATGCTTTATGAGTCTGTATTTCGTGCATTACCTTGGTGTTTATCAGTCAAGCTCCATGGGAATGCATTCTTGTTGGTGCAAAGGTGGAGTTTAGGGAGCTGGGTTTGACCTAACTCCTCAGAAACAGCTTGGCTTAAGACATGGCCATTGTCACTGCGCAATATCACCACAGACGTGGTCAGCAGAGATGCAGGAACGTCAGCTTAAGGTAGGAGGAGGGCGGTGGCAGCCAGACGGTATCTGTGAGGAGCCCTGTGCTGACCCCGACCTGCTATTACCCAGCCTGCTGAGGTGAGGAGACAGCGCAAGGCTTGGACCACGTGGGAGCAGCTGCTTCTCTGGGGCGTTGCTGGCAAAACTCTTATTCATACAGATGAACACTTCAGTGTATTTTTCTGATATGTCAAAGGCATCTAAGTCCTGCTTGGGGACTCACTGATGTATCACGAAATGTAGCATATACCACTTTCACTATATTCATGCAAGATCTTGTCATTTTCAGGTGGGTTGCTCTTCTGACATCAAATAAGACTGACGGGCTTCTGTGGGATTGCATTTTAATGCAGGGCTCAGAGACTGTTGTCAGAGACTGTTCATTGTAGATCTAGACACAGTTGTATTAACCAGTACAAATAACCATGAGGTCACAAATTCTGAGCTGGCTCCTCAGCTGTTGTAAACTGCTGTTAATGTCAATGGAGTTTGTAGATTTATGCCAGTGCTGAATTTGGCACGCAGGTTTCAGAATCCCCAATGTCTGTACACATCCTTGTTGAAAAACAGCTATCACAGTTCTCCTGGACTCTCAAAACCCCAGAGTTATTAAAAAAAAAAAAAAAAAAAAAATGTAAAAACAACCAAACACTTTTTACCAAGCCTTTTGTATAATAAGGTGGGTATCTGTATTGTCTTGACAGTAATATTTTGTTGTTGTTCTGTGTGTTTCAGAATCTAGATTTTTGCAATCTCTGGATGAAGACAATATGACAAAACAACCTGGGGTTTGTTTCCATTTTGTTCCACATAATTAGTATAAAACATACAGGCAAACTCAGTTTAGGAGAAAATTACATTAGAAATATTTTTATTGGAAAAGTTGAAGTGGTATAGTATTTTATCTCTCTCAATGTTTCGTTGTGGGCTTTTTTTTTTTTTCCTTTAAGCCTCTTTAATAGCACAGATGAGCAAATAGATAATATTTGCAACAGAAAATAGCACTTTATAAGGTTGTCTTTGGGGCTCTATTGCCCCCAAAATCCTTAGTAAAGTGTCATTTTTTTAATCCACCCTTCCCCACTCACATGCACATGTTGCTGGCAGGTGGTCCCCATTTCTAATAGGGAATTAGGTATTTGACACTGATTTTCTTTCAGAGCTCTTTTCTCCATTACAACCCTATTGCTCACAGAGAGTCAGCTTTACAAGAGTATTGTTTGCTTCACAAGTTTTAGTCCAGGTGCATTCTGTGTGTCACTCCATTGTCTCGAAAGTTTGCACAGTCATAATGACTAATTGTGGAATAGGATGGGTGATGCTAAAACCAGGGTTTGGCAATCATCTTTTTAACAAATTGTAATATGCACTCCCTGTGTGAGGAGCAAGTGCTGCTGCTGCTGCAGACCTGAGTCCCACTGGGGTTTGATGATGCCTTACTGAGAAGGGCTGTCTGGTAAAGAATGTAGGTTAAGTTACTGCAGTGCAAGGAATCTGCAAAACAACCCTGAACTCATCACTCCAGTGAGAGGCTGGTTGCTTGTGAAGCAGCCTCAGAATTGGGCTTCTGCAGAAAGCAATGAGATCCCAGGAGAGAGGGCACCAACCCAATGCAGTTGTCATCAGTTTTTCCATCTACCAGCTGGAGTAACAGTTAATTGGCATTATATGCTATGCTCAGACCTTATAGTGTGGTCTCCAGACCTTGAGGCTGGGTGTTCTGCTTTTTTTCCTAGCACTACTCTCATGTTTAAAGTCTGATCAGTCTGGCTTTGTGGGGCTGGGACAGTTACTATACTAATGCTGTTATATAAAATGTGCAATAATATGCTGTGTAGATTTTGCAAGCTAGGTGAACATTTTTCCTAGCAAATTTACCAGTTATTTTATGGAGCAATAGAGGCAAGGAAATTGGAAAAGAAAGGAAAACAAACAGACAAATACAGGAAAAGACGCATCTATGAGGAGATAAACACTGTTAATGTGTTATTGATGTTTCCTGATGTGCAGAACCTACGCTGGATGGCCCCTGAGGTGTTCACCCAGTGTACAAGGTATACCATAAAAGCTGATGTTTTCAGCTATGCTTTGTGCCTCTGGGAGCTGTTAACAGGTGAAATTCCATTTGCTCACCTGAAACCAGGTAAGATGCTCATTGAATTAATATTTAAATTTCTCTGAACTAGAGAAGTAGCTGCACTGTATAATATTAACCAATATTTTACTGGTTTGTTATTAAGTGCTAAGATTATGCATTCAGTGAAAAGCATAGAACTATCCTACTATAACCTCATATATTACTTGCTACAGATCTGTGTAACTTAAAATTCCTTATCTAGTTCTAGGATTATGAACAAGTCGCTCTAATTGTAGGCCTTTTGTCTCTCATGTTGGTGTTGGGGTTGTAAAGCCATTCCTTGCTACATGAACCTATGGGCAACATGCCTGTGTCAGGGGCAAAACCGTTAGCCCAGCTGAAGTGCATCTACACCAATGCATGCAGTATGGGCAACAAATACGAGTAGCTGGAGGCCATGTCACAGCAGGAAAGTTATCATGTAGTTGCCATCATAGAAGCGTGGTGGGATGATGCTCATGACTGGAGTGCTGCAATGGATGCCTATAAGGTCTTCAGAAGAGACAGGCGAAGCAGGAGAGGCTTTGGGGTAGCATTGTATGTAAGAGAGTGTCTTGACTGTACTGAAATAGATGATGATGAAGATGACAAGGTTGAGTGCCTATGGGTAAAGATTGGGGGAAGGTCAGCAGGGAGGACATTACAGTGGGAGTCTGCGATAGGCCACCCGACCAGGATGAACAGGCAGACGAGGCATTCTACAAGAGGCTGTCAGAAGTCTCACAGTTGCTGGCCCTTGTTCTTGTGGGCAACTTCAACTTGCCAGATATCTGCTGGAAATACAACATAGCAGAGAAGAAGCAGTCTAGGAGGTTCCTAGAGTGTGTGGAAGATAGCTTCCTAACACAACTGGTAAATGTGCCAACTAGAGGAGGTGCCCTGCTAGACCTGTTGTTTGTGAATAGAGAGGGAATAGTGGGTCATGTGGTGGCCGGTGGCCATCTTGGGTATAGTGACCACA